GTCGGCCCGGGCTGTGTCCTGCGAACGCGAGCAAAGCGGTTTCTGCCCGCAGCGGCAGTGCCTTTAAAGTTTGCTAATTGCCTCGCGTAGGGAGAGGGAGGAGGTGAAGGCGGTGTTTCAGGTCTCTTTTGGCAGGACTGGGCTTTTTGCGTAGAAAGAGCACGTCAGAAGTGGAGCCCGAGAGCCTCGTGCTGTGTTTTGTCATGGATTCCTCTACGTGCTCCTGCACCGTGAGGGACACGTGTTACACCACAACCACAGCATTGCCATGCACTTCGAAATGCTGACTGTCAAACTAAAATTAGGAGGTGCTGGTGCTCTGTGAATGTTACAGTATACTTTCTTCTGGAGCTGAGTGATGCAGCCTCCTCCTGTGCTGTCCGGCAGCACAGGACAGCACCTCCTCACCTTTGCCCTCCACCTGCATCTCTCATCCCAAATCTGGGGTGGGCTCTCCGTGCCATGGGGGGAGAAGGTGGGGCTGATGTAAGGTGATGGTCCCTGTGATCATCAAAGAATAGAAATGGGGAAAAATTTGTAGGAACCTTGATAGTTGGTTAGAGTGTGGTGCTAATAACGCCAAGGTCACGGGTTCAATCCCTGCTCACTGCAGGGGGGGGTTGGGTTCGATGATCTCTCAAGGTCACTTCCAACCCAAAGCATTCTATGATTCTATACTTAGGCTCGTCAGTACTTTGTTTAGATAGTTTTGCTAAATCTTTGTAGGAGTTAGGGTACTGGTACATTTTACAGAGACTCATGTCTGCAAGTGCTGCTCCTGGGACTGAGATTTTTGCATGTATTTCGTAAAGTAAAAGTTGTAGCAAGTCTTCCCTTGCTAGGAATATAATTTACAGTGTTAACAGGACAGAAATAAATCAGTTATTCTAAAATGAGGACATGGTAGCAAGGAATTTTTTAAGAAATATATATTCTCACATAAGTTGCTTTTAGAAAAGACAATGTCCCATTGCGTCCTGAGTAAATATTGCATAGCACGTATGGCTTACTTAGATGATCCAAGTCATCTCCCTGTTTTGTTTTTACTTGTCTGTGTTGGCTTTGGACAGTCTTTTTTTTTTTTTTATAATGAATCTGATTTTAAATAATGTTACTGTTTAAAAATAATAATTAAATAAAAAAGCATCTTAGATGTTTGGTCACTCTTTGGAAAGATATTTCAAACTGTTTTTTGTTTTCAGGAAAAATGGAGACTTCTTCCAGCATTTCTAAAGGTTAGTGTTATGCACTCATTTCATGGCATGAATACTTTGTCTCCTTTCTAACTTTACATTCCCCTCTTCTAAATTTTGCTGTTTCCCAGAATACCTGTCCTCACCTTCTGTGTGGATTTTGCAATTAGGTTTTTTTTGTTCCATGCAGTTATGGATAAACTTGTTACATATTGGTTTCCTGATTAATTTACAGATTAATTTGTGGAGGCATCCTTTTAGAGGTTTGCATTTTTGTATGGCTACTCTCAATGGACAATGTATGTGTGTAATGTTTCCAAATTATTTTACCGTTTTACTGGCACTCAGAGACCCTGTTCATGGTCTTTATATAAGGCTGTGGTGTTAGGTTTGTAGTTGTGTTTGTCATAGGAAGCATATAACCACAGATCTGGATTCTACAAGGGCTTGAATATATGTATATCTTCTCTCATGAAGTCAGACCTTGACTGAACTCAAAGATTGCTAGTGTCTTAATTTCGGTGCTGCTCATACAATCTGGTATTAGTTGAAGGCACAGTTCTATATAAAATGCCACTGGGCGTAATAACAGGACTAACAAACAGTTGGAAGTGAGGAAGGAGAAAGGCAGTAATGAAAATTGCTTCATAAAGACATCAGGTGAAGCCTGTCATGTGCGTCAGTACCTTCAGGGAATTGCAGCCACCTCTGCACCCGTCATCAGTCTTCAGAAATGTTGCCCACTTCAGCAAGGTTCTTTTCAGCCTCACTTTGTTAATTCCTTTCTTTCCCAGTTTCAATACCTGCACTTCTCTTTTTGTTGCACCCTTGAGTGTTTGATCCTGGCAGGAAAACAAAGTTCAAAAGTCAGTTACGGGTTGTGTATGTTTTCACGTTGGTTCAGGGCTGTGAAGATGCTTCAGAGCCCTAATGAATCCTGTTTCTGGGTCTCTCCTAGCAACCACATGAACTTCCATCACAAGCTTGAGCTAGTGATATTGTCTGAATTCTCGAGACTGTGAAAAAGGGAGGGCTGCTGATTGTGACGTGCAGTTTACTGTGTGCTTTATGCCAAGTGTATCCATCCCACATTATTTCCAGCCGGTGAGCCCTTTACTCTAGGGCTGCTGGTGGTGGTCTGGCCTTTCTGTTGCATGTTGGTTTATTTATGCCAGCAGTGATACAGTTACACAAAGCTGATGTTGTGCATTACAGTTTCTGTAGCAGAGTTTTCTTTCAATAAAGCTGTTGATATTGCCCCATAAAAAAATGGAAAGAACTACCAAGCCTGATTTCTAGACACTAATAAATCCATAATATTTTCTTGCCTATATGATATGATGTGCAATGTTTTTGTAAATTAGGGAAACTTATCTAAAGAATTTTACTCTGGAGTCACTCCTCCTTTGTCTTAACCCGTGGAGGCTTCAGTGAGCAGCTGGATTTCTCATTCTAAGCTTCCCATTTCTTTCTAATAATTTCAGAACGAACTGTTGCATATCATGCAAACTATGTAAATGCATCTTTTCTGTATGAAGTTTTAAGTCTTGTAACATGTTAGTTGTCGTGGGATGTTTCAAAGCTTAAAGTCCGCTGCGAGCATGTAAGCATGTCTCAGTATCAGCTAGCGCTCTTTCCTTTCCAAGGCTGGATTTTGCACTGTAGTTAGGATAGTTACGCCTTTTATTTCTGCAAATGCCAATCTGTTAACAAAATGAATGCTTCTCATAGTATTCCTTCAAGCTGAAATCTTTCTTTTTTTTTTTCTTTAATCCCAGATGATTTTACTTAGTATAATCCCCCTTCTTTTGGTTGCTGTAAACGCGTTGAACTTAAGTCCTTGAAATGTACTGTATCAACTCATTACCTGGGTGACCAATGTACTGTCTATGCTGTGTGATACTATCCCTGGGCATGTTCTCTGTCTTCCTGCCTACAAATCAAACTCAGATTTCTTATGAGTGTCCGGCCCTACTGTGACTATTTCCTTGCTTATTGACTTCTTCCTTTCACACCCCAGTTCTGTTCCACCTCCCCTGTCTCACTGGCTCTCCCTCTCATTCTTCTTTATGCCAGCTGCTCTTGTTAGGGTGCAGACAACTTTCTTAAGCAGCATGCATGATTAATTATACTATAAATGATTAAAATTATTTCAAAATAATGGCAAAGTGATAAAATATTTGACTTGCAATGGCTTTTGTTTGTTTATATGGATTTCAAAGTCTGTTGGGTGTTTACTTTGTACAGTTACCGAATTACTTTTCTGACTCAAAGAACAGCAACTGCTCTGGTGTAAACCTGGAAAGGTACAGTATGGAACCAGACCAATCATCCAGGCACTTCTCAGAAATTCATCAACTGAAAGAATTTAGCACAGATCCAAAAGCATTTATAAATGCTTATCTTTAAATTTCTGCCTTGTATGATTAATGTCATTGAAGCTAATTTGCTGCATGCATGTGTTTTCCAGGTGAAAGGGCTTGTGAAGCAGCACATAGACTCATTCAACTATTTCATCAACGTAGAGGTATGCTTTCTTGGTGGGAAGAGAGTGGCTCTTAGTACTCAGAAAAGGCACACGAACCTATTTTATTTTATTTTTTTTCCCCTCCAGATAAAGAAAATCATGAAGGCCAATGAAAAAGTTACAAGTGATGCTGACCCAATGTGGTACTTGAAGTAAGCATGAAATGATTTCTGTATCTGTAGTAGCATGTGTACTATCTCATGGGTTTGTTACTGGCTATAAAATGTTTATAGGCACCTGTGTAGGTATAAATCAAGAGAGTATTTTCCATGACTTATCTCTTATTTGGAGCATTGAAAGATGGGAAGATTTAAAAAATAATCATGTGAAGCAGTCTTAATAGCCAGCTATTAGCAATACCTTATGTCACCATTTTTCTGTAATTTAGTAACCTCAGATGACAGATGGTAGTTTCTTTTTGTCTAGTTGCAAAGGTAACTTGGGGTTTATTGCATGTGCAGTTTAAATTTTAACTGACTAGAACACAGCTCAAATACAGTGAGTTACTTTGGGAAGACTCATTGCTCATTATTAATCAACCTGCATTCATCAAAGTAACTTCTTTTTTCCGTATATGTAGAACTCTGCTTCCTTCAGGTCACCTGAAAAATATTTGGCTCATTGCTGATTTTGGAACTGTTTGTATTACAGGTACCTCAATATCTATGTGGGTACTCCAGATGTGGAAGAAAGCTTCAATGTGACACGACCTGTATCACCTCATGAGGTATTAATGTTTGCATCTGTCTTCTTTGTTTGTTTGTTTGTTCTTGGGAATGTCTTGGATAGTAGCTGCGTATAACTTTATTTTGAGTACATATGTGCTACATTAGGTGATACAGTGCATGCTAACATCACTGTAGAAAGAAGCCTCAGCGATGTAAACATCATGAATTTTTTTATTTTATTTTAAAAATTTTTTCTGATGTGCAAATAGCTGTATTCAGTGTTTCATGGTAGCTGTATTTGAGTGGGTTTCCATGAAAGTAGTGAAAAGTACTTCTCTTGCTTAATCTTGTGGATCTCCTTATGACAAAGCTGAAGTCCTCACACTACAATATAGTGTTCTTTGATGTTTTTATTAACTTCTTTGTAATATTAGCCTTGCTACTGTCTGCACCATAGGTCACTTTAGTCTCCCTTTCCCTCCCAGTCTTCTTTGGGAATTTATCTCTGATTTTTTGCTCATAGTTTTTAAGTCTGAGTTAGAGAGTGAACATGGAAACTTTGAGCAGAAACAGATGGAAGTTGATAAAATTATATGCAACCACAGAAGAACGTTAGCCTTATGGGGAGTATATTTAGCTTCTTTGCACTGCTGTAAGCATGTAGGTTAACAAATGGGTTGTGTACTTCTGGAATAAAGATGCATGTTGGAGAACAGATGCTGCTGTGACTGAAATCTGAGAGTCTGTTGCTTTTGGCAGGATATAAGGTAGCTTCTGTGTATATAAGAAACCCATAAACTAAGATAAGGTTTGGACCTTTTAGGATTGCTTCCAGGTATCTAAAGCCATTCAGTTCTCTTCAGAGATTGCTCAGAAACAAAGTATTCCTCTCCTGCTGCTGTGCTTTGAGATTTATACTACTGCAACAGAGGTACTGACAACCTCTTTTTGGCCTCAGAATGGGAACTGAGCTTGGAACTTGCACTCATTTACCTATATACAGCCTGTTGTCAACCTAATAAATCAGTTCACATATTGGATACTTTTTTTACTTTCTACATACACTTGATACTTGAAGTTGGATTGGTTTTTTTCATGTAGTGTATGTGGCGCACTTTAGACACTGTCATGAAATACATTCTGTGCTTTGGAGAAATTCTGTTTAAAAAAAAAAAAAAAGCCATCTAGTGGTTGCCTCTTGTGCATACCCATGTTTCTGTCGCCAGTGACCTGACTCAAATCTCATGTAGTTTGATGGAAACATTTTAAGTAAGGCCAATAGCTCAGCCATCAACAGTGCAATTAGGTGTAATACAGGACAGTTCATACATCTCACAAATGTGTAGCTAACATGGAATCAGCAGATATGAATGTGCACAAAATGCAACAGGAAAGATTTTTTTATACATGAATGGAATTGCATGCAAAAAATTGTTTGTGGCCAATAACTCGTATCTAAGAATCCAGGTATTAAAATGCATGCTTATTTTATAACTAAAGTGACTGTACATGCAGAAGAGGGCAAAATTAATGCTTCATAGAGCATATTGACCTTGAATTTAGAATAACCTACTCTTGCATCTCAAATATATCCTCCTTGATGCTTAATGCTAGTGCCTCATTTCTCTTTTTTTCAGTGTGCTATACACACGTGAAGGCCATGGTTATTTTCTGAAATAGGATGCTGATCAGGTCAAACCAGGGGTGCAATTTAAAAACAAACAAAACAAAAAGATTGGATACTTATGAGTAGGTCATTACATTTCTCTGTTAGAGCCTTATAAAATTCCTTCCCAAAGACACCTAAAATGATTGGATTTTCATAAGGGTCTGAATTTTTTACCTATTTTCAATCAAATTTGGGAGTTTTTATGTCCTTGGTTTCCTTGAAGATCAAGTCATGCCTGTCTTTTACCTCTAGGTGTCTAATCTAAAGAGAAGTTACCTCAAGGAAGGTGATACAAAAGTACAAGTGCTGGAATATTACACTGTGTAATTCTTATTTTATATCTGTGTCTTGTGTGGACAAAGCACACACGAAGAATCCCAAAGCATTTTTTTCCCCAAGTAGTACTAATGAAGCTGTCTAACTCTCCTTCCTATGCAGTTCTTATGGGAGTTCCATGAACTATTCATACAGATTCATACAGATAAATTTGAAGTAATTAGAAAATGGAAATATTCTCAGTTACTTTTAAATTCGATGAAGTTGCTGGGAGCACAGTGGGACCTAGTTTCCTACAAGTCACAGCTTGCAAACTGCTGGTGCACATCAGTATTTTTATTAATAGAGAAGTGGTTTACTTCTTAATGTGGAGAGGAGCATGCAGTTTGCAGTGATTCTCGAGGCATATTTTTCCATACAGTTGCATCTTCAATGCACAGCACAATCTTAATTGCCTTTTATTAATGCGTAATCAATACACTGAAAGACTATAGACCCATAAATGTACAAGTCTGAATACTGATAAACCTATAATCCTAGAGCTCAAAGGTATAGAATGCTCACTGAGGTCACAAATGGCCTGCTGTGAGTTGCTCTGTTGTATTCAGCAAATGCAATAAACCTTGTCTTGCATGAAGATATGCAATACGTTAAGGCCTAGCAACAGAGTCATAGAGTGAGGTTGGGAAGAGCGGACCAGAAAGATCAGACTAGAAATGATTGAGCCTTGTGCTATGTAATGTCCTAGATATGTATATCCTGCTTCTCTTGCTATCTGAGAAATTTACAAACAAATTATGGGAATCTATACAAGAAGTGATACTGCAGTGAGCCTTCTGTAAGTCGTCTTTAGAAATGGTACCATACAGTGAGATTTGCTCATTCCATTAATAAGGTAGTGCAGTATCTCTCTTACTCTCATATATTTTCCTTCTATCAAACTTCATATGACAGCACAACTCTTCAGCTGTTGAGAGTCTTCATATAGAAATGTCCCTGAGCTGAGCACTGCTCTCAGAGCCTGTGGCATAGTATGGTCTTTGTGTCAGCTCTGCTGATTAGGCCTGTTTGTTTAATTAAACAATTTAGAAATTATGTTCTACAGTGCTGTCCTCTGAAGACACAGATCCACTGGCTGCTTTTGAAACATCACAATAATTGTATTTGGGGGTTTTTTGGTTTTGTTTTAAACAGGAGACTCTGTCAAACATAGTCCAGGTACGATGAAGAGCTTGGTCAAGCTTCGCTTTGCTTGATTTCTGTGTGAGGACTTGCAGCAGACAGGGCAAACATGGGATGTTTGAAGAGAGACTCTTCAGCTTGTAAGCCAACATCTAACCACATGACTTTCTTCTTTTAGTGCCGTCTGAGAGACATGACTTACTCTGCCCCGATTACAGTGGACATTGAATATACACGAGGTAGCCAGAGGATCATACGCAATGCATTACCCATTGGCAGGTAAGATACCATATGTTGAGCTTCTGGTATTAGTTTTCCTTTGCTGCTGTGTTGGGAAGAGTTTTTACTGCAACATAAAGGTAGGCTAACCTTGCTTCCTTGTTAAAAGAAACAGTGAGCAGGCAAATCTTGATGACAGCTGTACAGGATGTGATTGTTATGTTCTGTTCTAAGATTTTGTTTTGCAAAAGCTTATAGAAATCTCTCTCCTTCCAAAGAAGGATGGATATAGGGGTGGATGTTGTCTATGCTTGTATTGATATAAAACCAAAGAGGGAAATATATGAAAGAATACTGGAGCTGTAAGTCACCTTATTGCAAAATGAAAATCATGTTTGCTTTGTAGCCAAATTACACAGTCTTTCATACGTAATATGTAGAAATACATCTGTGGAAGGTGGATGGTAAAACCAGTAAAGCAAGCATTAGTTCTTCTGTATGAGGTTAAGCTCTCCTTTAAAATTGGTTTGGTTCAGAGCCAAGGCTGAGCTTTGTGGAAAAATGTTGAGGATTTTTTACTGGTTTTGTTCTTCTAAAGGCTGTCAAATGACTTGAGGTTATTAGTGTTGTGAAGGATGTCTAATTTCTTGAAGAAAGAGTAGTGTGCCTGGGGGAGAAAAACAAGCTCTTAACTGTACCAAAAAGGCAAAATACCTGACAGTTCTAGCATTTATTGAAAACAAAATTCTGTTTTAAAGACAATAAAGATGCCTGTCTTTTGTAGACAAGGTTTCTTAAAGACCAACCCTGCTAGCTTTGAAGGTCAGTGCCTTACAGAGATTGTTTACTGTGTGACTGTGCATCTTACCAAAGGTAGAATACTGGCAGGAAAGGGAAGATAGATGCTTAAGGAGCTACACTTCTTGTAGTGAAATTTTAAGCTTTCGTATAAAAAAAAATTACTTAACCCTGTCAGTAGAACATGATACACAGCAATGCATTTACAAAACTAAGATTCTGTGGCTGTAGTAACAGTTTATTGTTCTAAGTAATTTCTTAAGAAAATAAAAGTTTTTAAAAGGCCATTTAAATTTGACGACTTTGAATTATTTCATGGTGTGTGCTATAGGCAAAGAAAAAAGTTCAAGTAAATGTGTATTTTCACCAAAAGACACCAGCAGTTTGTATACAAAAGGCAGTGCTTTAAAGGATAGGTTATAGCTAAAAGAAGCATAACAAAAACTAGTCTAGACATTTGTCTACATCTCTCAGAAAAAAAAAAAGGTGTGAGGAAGACTTGTAAAGCATCCATAATATACTGGAAAATACTAAGTTACTGCGCAGCACTAGTATGTTGCATCTTACCTTAAGGCCTGTTTCTGTAAATTCTTCTCTTTCTCCTATGAAGTGAGGTCACAGCAAAAAAAGTAAATATTCTCCATTAAAAAATAAAGTTATGTCATCCGACTGGTCTTAAGGGCTTTTTGCTGCTAAAAACTGTTAATATCCAGTTATTATTTCCATGGGAAATAATTTTCCTCATCTGTTCCTAGTATTATGCTGGTTTTCTTTTGCCAGGTGAGTATATACAATGCTTTTATTTGACATGCAGTTCAGACTGGGACAGGAAAGCTGTACGTTCTTTCCTCTCTTATTTCTGTTGTTTGGCAGTCACTGATAACCTATCCATGTTAGAAACAAAAAAAACCCCAGGGCAATATCTTTGTGTCTTTAAAAAGGAAAATTTCCTTTGAATGCTTAATAGCATTCCAAATTAGTGTACCCGTTTTCTGTGTCTTTATGCACAGAAATTCAATAACTTTATTTTCTCTTTTTCTTTTTTTTAAATATTCTTCCTGTTCTTCATGATAACTTCAGATATTTAAAAAATTAGATTCTATCCTCAAAAGGAGAATGACTTACTATAGTGTCTTACATTAGCTGCAAAATATTTTGCTGTTTGCAAGTGAAATACAGGCTAGTTACTTGGTGACATCTGTTTCACTAGAGTTTTCAGTGATGGCATTTACATACTCCATTTTGAGTTTCCTTATGCCAGCTGGTTACTGTTTCTGATATAAATAGCCAATGCATTAGGCTTATTGTGTGTGTATGATACAACATTATGATTGTCATATGAAGCTTCTTGTCTCTGGGAAACACTTGCTCAGTGAAATGACTGAAGCAAATAGGTTATCTGTACAGAGCACTGCAGTGACAAGATAGCTTTTCATCCTCTTCAAAAATACAGAATTTTAAGTTCATCAGTTTTCTTTTAAGATATAAGAATACAAAAATGGCCAAGAAATTTAAATAATTGATCACATTTGAATAAAAGAAATACAACTTTGTTAGCAAAAGCTGCCTAATCTTAGTTTTTGTTGGAGTAATTTTGAATGAAATATACCTGAGGTTGCAAATAGTTGCATAGTAGTCCTCATGGATAAATTGTCAAAATATGTCTTAGCAAACACCTGGAACATAGGTCTTACAAAGGCTGTCCACCAAGGAGTGAAATTCTGTAAGCTGGATCGAAAGTTCACTTTTTTGTAGAAGAGACTAAAGGGCATGGAAGTCTTTGGTAGATGTAATAATAAGCTGGTTTTATCTTGTGCAAAATGTAGATTTTTCTTTGGAAGTAAAATATGCTCTCTTTCAAAAGTTTTAATGAAAGATCTGAGAGTGGAAAGGTACATTATGAAGCTGACTATAAAAGTACTCTTTTCAATAACAACTGCAAAATCATTGCTAGTTAGCTGTTGAATAAGCCAAGTTCCTAGTAAGACTGCAGTATAAACACACAAAACCGAATGAATGTGAACATTCTCTGACTTCATCACAGGGTGATAGAATAATGCAGGTTGGAAGAGACCTCAGGAAGTCTCTAGTACAACCTCCTGCTCAAAATGGGGCCAGCTCTGTGATCAGACCAGGTTGCTCAGTGCTTTATCCTGTCAGGTCTTGAAGACCTCCATGGATGGAGACTGCCCACCTTCTCCATGCACCTTGTTCCACTGCTTGACTGTCCTCATGGTGAAGAAGTTTAGCCTTACATCCAGTCTGTGCATCTTTAGTTTCTCTTTTTTTACCTCCCTAAACATAGAATTTGTTTTTAATTTCTTGGAATATTTTTCCACCACTTCATGTTGCTTCACAAAATGCTTGCTGCAGCCTTCTGTGCTGAGACAGAGAAATCAGAACTCCTACTGGGGAAACTTCATGCCTAGGTTATGTATTAGAGGCACTGTCTGTCTGCAGCCATAAGGCGTGATTGCTATGTGGGAAATCAGATCTGAACTAACTTTTTCTAATTAGAACTGGTACCAGTGGATCTGCAATGGCGTGTTCGTCAGTGCAAACTCTACTGTTTTGGGGGACCGGGAGTCTTTCCACTAGTAATCATTGGCCTTGGTGACTGTGCTTGTCATGGATGCCTCTAGTAGCTGCATAAAAATTAAATAGGAAGCCTACAGTTTCTGCCAGTAGACGTCCAATTTCAGGTCTCTCTTTTCAAACTCTATGTTCAATGAAATAACATGGCATTAAAGAAAAAACCTGTTGTTCATAGCTTGCATGTTTAATTACCTTAAACGTGTTTTCTCCAGTTTGTTCAGCATGGTTTTTGTTCTGAATTTGACTATTTGTATTTTTCTATCTGAACCTAAAGTAAAAGCGTAACTGGTTTTCTTGCAGAATGCCTATAATGCTGCGTAGCTCCAATTGTGTTCTTACTGGGAAAACTCCAGCAGAATTTGCCAAACTTAACGAATGCCCTTTAGATCCAGGTACATTTGCACTCATGTTCTTTTTCCCCATCTGTGCTTTTAGATTTAAATCTTTTCCAGCAAAGAAATACCCCATTAATATGTTTCCTGCCACTGTGAAGTTGTTGTGGGAACTTCTCAAGTGTATGCTTGTAAATAAAAGAAATTGTCAGGCTTTTGAAAATAGTAAGAAATGGTTGACAGCATGGAATGTTAGTATTTGCAGACAGAGTTTTCAACCACAAGAACAATACACCAAAATTTTGAAAAAGTTGGGAAGTGTATATAGTATTGTACAGTGATGCATTATATGGGAACAGAGATGGAATTCATTCATGAAAATGAAGTGGATCAGGGGGGAGTGGAGTATAATGGTGTCTTCCAGAGTGGGCACTCTCATTTGCTGCCCTTTGTAAAGCAAGAATAAAGTGTTACATGATAATATTTGAAATGTAGAGAGGAGATGAAGGGTTATAACGAGGAACTTGTTTGGTTTTTATCTGCTGCCTTTGAAGCATGCAGTGGACGTGCTGTGCTTGCTTTTGATGGCAAGATACAGTGACATAACATGCTGTGCTGGAGGAGCATTAATAGATAACTACAATTTAAGAGAGGACTCTTAACATGGCTCGTGCAGATTTCTTACATTGTCTTAGATACAACAAGGGCATTAAAATACATTTTAAAAAGTAATACAAAAGAAATTTCTCCCTGGAGTGCTGGAGAGAGCAAGTCAGTAATTACGGAAGACTTACTCTCTTTATTTGATACCAAGTGTCTGAAATGGCCAGTTCTTTTTTGATGTCCTTATGATACACTTTTCTGACAGGCGGTATTTTTACCTAATTTGTAGAACTAACAATTCTGTAACATCTTTTAATAAGTATGGTTACCTTACAGATTTGGGTTTTTTTACAGGTTTGCAGTTTTAGTTCTGCCTGTGAGTTCTTGCTGTCCAAGTACTTCCCAAATAAAGTCTTAGATCCTGGATACTATGTGTGAGCCTAGCTGAAGTTCTGTTTAGTCTAGTGGAACATTTTCATAGTTATCATAGGTTCCACACAGAGTTTGTTCTTTACTGTTTTAAGGGAGAATTTACTCTCCTGTTTTGTCCTTTGTGTACTTACGGTTTACTTTCTTATAATTTATATTCAAAGGCATATTGAAGGAGGTGAGTAAGGTGCAAGGGTACTGACATGCAAAATCTTCCTTTTCTATTGAATAGGTGGCTATTTCATTGTTAAAGGTGTAGAGAAAGTCATTCTTATTCAAGAGCAGTTATCCAAAAACAGAATCATTGTGGAAGCTGATAGAAAAGGCACAGTTGGTGCTTCTGTTACCAGGTATGGTAAATGTCTGCAATTGCATAAAAGAGAGAAACCGAAAGCTTTGAGAGTTCATTGTTTCAGTTGAAGTGTCTGTGTAGTCTTCTTCCTAGTATAGTTTAACGGGAAAAAGCTGTAGACATTCAGTGCCCCTCTTTGCTCCTGCCATTTTGCATGCTAAAACATCAATCCCGAAATCAGTTAGTACAGTATTCCCACAAAAATCAGTGGGAGTTGCTCATATGCTTCAGGATTTGTCCCAGACTAGGAAAAGCAAGCTCTAATTTTTAACATAACAAAGTGCACTTCCTAGTTGATGGTGTTTGGTCTCATTTTGCAGCAAGTAACATGAAGTTACTGCAGTGGAAATTGGATGTAACGTTTTGTTTGACTTTAAATCAAATTGGTGTAAAAGCTTTTAAAAGCAATTGAGAAGGAAACAAAAATCAAAGATTTTTGTACTACACAAATTATTGAAAATGGCAAGGTAGTCTAAATTTGGCCTTTGCTCCTCAACTCAGTTTTATTTATATTTTGTTTGCCTTTTGGTTTTGTTTTTAAGCTGCATGCTGGTATAATATGGTGCTTGTCACTGTTCCGTGTGAGGGCTCTTTTTTCTTCTCTAGAAGACCTTTCACACAGCTCTCCTAGCTCCTTTACTGTTCCGTGTAAGCCTAGATGAGGTTAAACGTACAACAGAAAGTACTGTTATCTCATTACTGTTGTTGCCACAGTACTTGTGCACAGTTAACCTTGCTGGTTATATCCAAGTCAATGATAAAAGCATGCAAAGATGATTTTCAAAAGTAAAGGCTTCTATTTGCTTAAGTCAAACATTGACCTTCCCCATCACAGGTGATAATACCCTATTACCTTGGAGTTATGGGGTGATGTCTGGCTGTTTTAATGTCATTTTTAAAAGAGGAGAAAGTAGTATTAATTCAGCTGAAAGATTGCTCAAGCTTGATAAGTTTTATACAGAAGATTCTAGGAGTGTCAGTGCAAACTTTGTTGGACATAATGTATTTTTTTTTTTTTTTTAACTTCAGTTCAACTCATGAGAAGAAGAGCAGAACAAATATGGTTGTGAAACAGGGAAGATTTTACCTGAGGCACAACACTCTGTCAGAAGATATTCCCATTGCTATCATATTTAAGGTAATACAACTGTTGGTTTGTTTTTTTAAAAAAAAAAAAAAAAAAAAAAGCAAAAAAAAAAAAAAAGCTGTACTGTAGCTCAAGAATGAAGATCAGCAGCAGCTCTCAGAAGTTAATACATACAGAAGGACTTGGCAGGGCTTAGAGAATGCAAGCTTTTTTCCCCTGGGAAGTCATCCTTATTGTACAGCAAAAAGGAGAAAAAGTGCTGCATTTTTCTGCAAGGAGAGCATTGCTGTGCCAAGACAAATGCCTGCTACCCCCTTACTGCTGTAAGGTCCCTCTGCACTGCTGCCTGTGCTCCTCTTGCTACAGAAAGTCAGAAGGATTTTGGTTTGTTTTGTTGTGAGCTGTCTTGCAAACTTGTGTTAAGGGTCTTTGTTTCTGGTTTTGGTACCGCCACCCCCACCTACAATTTGTGGACTGCTGAGTAGCTCAGCAGCCTTTGTGTCAGATCTAGGGACATGACATAGCCATGAGCTCATTATACGTGACTTCCAGTCATAACTGTAAACAAAACTGATAGCCTTTGGGGAAATCGTGCAGTTCTTAGACTTATACCTAAATCCTTTAAGATTACTAGAGTGGCTTGTATTTCTTGGCAATTTACTTCCTTCCCCTGTGAATGAGCTCTGCCTCAGTCAGAATACTTCAGAATCCTCGCCTGATTTGGGAACACTCACCAGTATCTTCAGTGCAGTGAATGCACGGACAGGCATAGTAGCTTTGAGGCAATCTCCGGTGGGACGGATAAAGGTCTGTGAAAGGCATCCATCCCTGATTCTGGGCAAGAATTGGGGAGTATGTGCCCTGCCAGCTGAGCTGGTGACATTGTCATGCCTTGGCCGTCATTGCCTGTGAAACTGCCAAAACTGCTTTCTCTTGCCCTCTGCTTCTCCCTTTCATTTTAATTCACTCAAGGGTGCGCACAACTGAAGGCGTAACGATGCCTGCTCCCTAGCAGCCCAACAGGACTGGAGGCAGGCTGGTAGCCCCTCTGTCTGTGGTATCGAAGACATGGGCTACAGCCAGTAAAGGTGGTGGGTGGACATGCACTGTCCGGCTGCTAGAGAAGGCAGCAGGGCACGGCCAGGCCTTAGGCTAGGACCTGCCCTCCCAACAGCTCCTTCCTGCCCTGTAGGCTTCGCTGCTGCCTGGAGGTTTGCAGCCTGGTGCAGGGCATGTGCTGAAGGGAACTGGGCAGCCGTCTTGGAGGCACTGTTTGCAGGGAAGGTGGCTTAGGGCACAAAGATGCCTTGACTGGACCTAGCAACCAATAGAAATAAATCCTATAGCTCCCTTTTCGTCTTCACTATAATGGTTTAACAGCACAGAAGGTGTGGGGAGGTGATAATCGCTCGAGGAAATAAATTGCCAGGAGAGGGCAGCACTTGCTCACAGCATCCAAACAGTTTCTGCCCGCAGTGCTGATTTGTTAGCGTTGGCAACTACAGTCTTTTCTGTATTACCACAGCTCTTTGGCTGATTGAGAGTTGTAAAAATCGGTTTTCTTGTAGAAAGTGCTTTGGGTTTGGTACTAGAAAATAGTTTAATAATTGGATTTAGACTTGAGAAACAAATGTCTGTTATCTCTGATTAAGCTAATCTCTTCAAGTAGTTGGAGGAGATCATCTGGTTTTAGTGACCAATGTTAAAGGAGGTTGAGAAATTATTTGTAGACAGAAATGCACATAAAAGTGTCAGGATTAAGTTCACAACTTTTCTCTCGCAGGAAAGTGTTAATGTGGGTCTTAATCTATTTGCTCGAGTACCAAACAGCTGGACTCCACCTTCACTTACAGATTTTTATTACATTTTGTCAGCCCCTGCTGGTATAGATAAATACCTGCTCTCAGAAGAGTAACTGCTCTGGGTTATTAAGTCTGAAGAGGTGGTTGTTGAGGGGTTTTTTAAGCAGCATTATACTGACTATTTGATCACCTTCTGACAATGCTTGCTATAATTATCCCCCTGCCTATATGTATCTTTTATATTCTAGATAAGGTTGCATAATTTTTCATTTACTTATTGAATAAGGGGTTACAGTTGTTAGAAGCTATTGGCCGTAGTGCTTTTCAAAGATTTATATTGATTTAATCCAGTAGCAAATTAGCTGCACCCACTTTAACTATTCTGAATGTTCCACTCTTGACCAGCACTTAACTGTACTCATGAGTGGTCATTTTCCTTACTTTTCCTTTAATGACGTGAGCTCCAGGGATCCTTTGTCCACTTTTGATGAGCTTCCAGCTAGAAACTAAAAATCCCAGACAGTTTTTGCAATGGATTCTTAGGCAGGCACCAGCCTCTGATCTTTCTTTCTTGGGCATCATTGTAATGCAGTATTACTTTGTTGTTTTTAAGTACTAGAAGCAAGCTTACAAACACTATAGCCTGAAACTGGATAACCGCTAACTTAGGGATCCCTGTGTAGCCTCAGCTCTCTCACATGGCAGTATTACACATAGGACGTTTGTTGGAAAAGCAAGGAGAGTAATTCTTTTCTGCTGAGATCCAAGCCTTGGGCATGGAGCAAGTAAACGTTCTGCTTCTTTTAATGTAGAGATACACATCTACAAGGGGCAAAGTTAAGCTGCACAGACAATATAAGCTCTGAAGTTTTGGTTGCCTTTGCATCCTTAACTTGTACTGTAGCAACTGCTTGTATAATTTCCAATTAAAAATAAACTGAGAAAGGAATGACAAAAACCTACTGCTCTGCATTTGCTTCCATCCAGGCTGCAACCGAGTTCCACAGACCTCTGTGTTTTGAGTAAGAAAATGACTAGTGGTTGGTAGAGGGCTGCTATCCAGTGCACGGGCTAGCTAGAGGGGACAGTTTTGTCAAGAACTATCTGAAGAGTCAGTGGGAGAGGGCTGGGCAATTTTGGATTGTCTTTCTAGTCCCAGTCCCAGCTTTAAATGGCCCAGTGTTCCTGCAGATGACTTAAGATGTAGGTCAGGTACAGAAAATCATTGTAACTTCATAGAAAAGAAAGCAAGTATTGGAGATCTAAAATTCGTAAAGAGCTCCCTTTAACTAGAACTTAAGAGCACTTTTGTGTTTCAGGCGTGAGTCATGGACACATCTCAGCTGAATGCTAGGGCAAGACCTGAACATACAGTGTTCCCCATCCTTTCTCTTCTTTCATGGTGAGGAAGGAAACCCAGGCACATGGACTGTGGGGAGGGGTAGAAATAGTGTGGATCTAAAGGTCCCTTGTTCTGGATAGATGGGGGGACTGGACTGTGTAGGGTCACCCTAAAGGGGGCCTCTGCCTTGCAGTTCATCCTTATTCGTAGTCTCTTCTAAACTGCAAGCATGAATGACCTTGCTCTGCTGCTTTGCTTTTCTGCCATCCAGACCTGTAAGGATCTTTGTGATTGGCATATTTGGAGGTTTAACAGCTAGTTGTGCTGAACACATGTAAGTTGTGGTTTTCTGAAGTTTAGCACATTGACCAGAGCTAACTGAAATTTGATAGGCTACAAAAGGCATGGTCTCGGCACTATTGTAGGACAGACTTGAAGTGTCTGTTCTTCAGATGTGGGGAAGTTAGTGCTTTGTTGCTGTGCTAGCTTTCCCCTAACCTTTCTCCATGAAAGTGACAGAAGCATCTGTGCAGCCCCTATATATGTAAATGCAGCTTTTGGTTTGAAGTAGTGATACAAATTGGACAATTTTGCCCCCAAAGTATGTATTTGTTGAGGTTTTTAAAGGGCTGTTAACTGCCTTGTAATGGGAAACAGACACAACTCATTTGCTTCCTGCTTTACTGTGCAACACTGCTTCATTAGTTAATATATGTATGCAACCAGAATGGTACTTAGGATGTCCTGAGTTGACTTGCAACCACAAGAGACTTTTGTTTTAGCTGTGTGTCAGTTGTGCACAGATCATAGAGCTGTGTGAACGGTGCGTAGTGGGTTTTTTGAATATGTCAGGCTGTGAGCTACGCACGCTTTACCTGGGGGGCTTGGACAGTTTTAGGAAGCAATGAGCATTAGAGGAAGTGTGGAATATTTGTGTAGTACTTAAGGATATTTCTATCCTGAAAAACATCAGGGTTACAGGTGAGGTGGTGCTGCTGCTTTTGCAGGGAGCTCCCTACATTGCAGGGAGTTAGAGCTGTTTTAAGGTAAGGGCTATTTTCTTTTGGGTTTGTGGTCTTGATTCAGTAGACTTGAGTGAGTCCTGGGAGCTGAAATAAATGAAGGCGGCGTGCTGCACCACAACTAGTTGGGGAAGGAAGAGAATTATAAGTAACCTAGGAGGACTTAATAGTTGAATTTTATGACCTGAATTGCTAGGTGAAGTATCTTTAGTTTATGTGGGAGCTATAAGGAGCTGCTGTAGGACCTGGCGGCAAAAGATTTGAACAGCAGGTCAAGTTTCATTTTTACAAACCTGTGTTAGTCTTGGAGCTGTTAAGATGCAACTCTAGAGGAACAGTTGAATGGTGGTCTTACTGGATCTGCAGAATTACGGGTTCCCATGGCTGCAGTTTCATAGCTCTTATCTTTTGAATTATGAAAGCTCCAGACCAATTCTGTCTGTGATGTCAGCCTTGAACTTCCCTGACATCTTTTTAATCCAGTCATCTGCCTGTCTCCATTCTGTAATTTAGCCTGATGGACTGCAGAACTACATTCTAGGGAAGTGCCATGGAAACGCCTAGACACCATCATTAAGACACAAGCTGGGGGAGGAAGAGCTGGGTTTGCACTCTATCACGCACACACTCTCATATGTACATGTGTGTGCACGCACACATGCGTTTTGGGCAGCAGGAACCTCCCCGGTCCAGCAGTTGACCCCAGTTGGGCCACTTTCTCCCACTTGAACTCAGGATGATCTGAATATTCTGCATGTTTGCTTTGACTTACCTGTCTTATGTCCATTGACTACTAGCCTTCCAACCATGCTCTTCAACAGCCTGCTATTGTCTCCTTCCTCATCCTTTCACTGCTACTGTTAAGTTATCCCTTTGCAATGTCTCCTTCCTCTCCACCCCCCTGTAAAATTATCCCTTTGTGATGTTGCCTTCCAATCAAAAATAAACAAGACATCTTGTTTCCTGCTTTGCTTTTATGTTAATTCCCTTTCCCTTGGCTTTGTTCTGGGATCATGAGCACTTTAAGCGTAGGACCCATTCCTATTTTGCATGTGCTCAGTGTTTCTGTAACACAGGCAACAACCCAGGAATATTTTATTACTATCCTAGTGATGTTACAACCCAGGAATATTCCAGGAATATTTTGTTACTATCCTAGTGATGTTACAGGCTAATTCTGGAGTGCTTTTTTGGTTGGTGTGGGTTTTGTTATTTTTTTTGGTGGAAGTGCAACATCAGGGCCAAATTCACTAAAAAAGAAAGTGTTAAAATTACAAATCTATCTCATACCAGCATGGGCCCATTGCTTGCCTTGTTAGTGTTGCATGTAGGTGGATTTGTGTGTGCAGCTCACACATTTGTGTGTGATTGTTGAGAGTACAGAGGAGAATAAATGGGTGTACTTTTAGGCTGTTGTTTACTTTTAGACACATCTTTTTCAGTCATTTGCCTAAGTTTTTAGTCATTACTCATAAATTAATTTCCCCCAATTTGCGTGTACCTAACAATACAACATAGATTGTTTGGTGGCAGATCCCAGCCTTTCCCACACACAAATTCAGAATTCTCAAGTGCATTTGCTGCTACAAACTTCAACTAGAAAATCTGCACAGTCATAATGGTATGTCCTATTCTCATCTTATTGTTGTCAGACTTCTGATCAGAGAATTCATCGAGTTAGAAGAAATCATCAACCCTCTTTAATTTACTGTGGCTTTCAGTTTTTTAATTGACAAAAGAGCATAGTAAAACTGCAGATTGACTTACCTTTCCCCCGCTTGTTTTGTTCACTTTTTACATGACTCTTACGATCTGGTTGCCGTCCTGAAATTAACCTGGTGGACAGAAATGGGTGATGTTTTATCAGCTTGCATTTGATGTGCTTTAGATAAATATATTCCTGGTATGAGTGCCTAGAACGGCACAAAGATTCCCTTAATAAAATTTTGTTCTTCTGTAGGCTAAGTGCAATAATTGTATGAATCCAGTTGTGGTTCCTAAACTGGTTTGCTGGTCAGCTGTTAAGTCCTAGACACATGGACAATTACTATTGTGAAGCTTTCATGCTTTTGTAGACTTTCTGATGAGTCTGGCTTTCAGGTCATGAGGGATTTTGTTAACTTCTCTGCTGAGGTTTTTTAACTACTGTGTGACCTTATTTGAAAAGGTGAGGAAGTGTAATAATATTTGAAAAACAGAGATCTAAACTACAGTAATATCACATGGGCAAACTCCAGTTCTGAAAAGAGCCTTGAGATCAGAGAGGTGGCTACTTATTGGGAGCAAATTATGATGAAAGGCTCTTATCTGGTGCAGTAACTGTGTCTTGATTTGGCACTCAAGTCTGTCCGAGATGGTGGAATTGTGATCTGTGCTTTGCACTAAAATGGGAATGTTCTCACACTGTTATGGGTGTGTACTACTTTTGCACTGCTTTTAATTTCTAATAAACCACAAGGTAAACAGACAGAGTTTTAAGTTAAAGGAACTTCAACCAACCACTTTGTTGAAAAAGAAAGAAGAAATGAAAGAAAAAAGAAAGAAAGAAAAAAGCTGGATACTTCATGATTACAGCAACAGTTTTGCAAGGGGATAGCATTAGCTAGGTGTTAAGCAAAGTGACACCCAATGAAGGCAATAAGAAGGGAAGGTATTTGCGCATTTTTGAGGAAAATATGACTTTTTGGGACACTGCCAGTTTTTAATGAGAACCAGAATACTAGGGTCTACATGGGCCATTATTTACAATGGTCTTTGTGGCAGGCAGTTTGAAGAATAATATGAATGCAAACGTAACTTCCTCACAAAGTTCTGAGAAACATATTATAACTCAGCCAGAAGAGGTTTAGTGAGATTATTCCATTTCTTGATATGGCAGAGCTCCAGGCAAATGTGTGAAGCAGGGAGCTTTAGCACCATCTGGAATCCACAAAGGCCTTCACTGCTTGCTGCCACCTTGAAACACTTACTGATAGAGAGATTTTTCTAAACCTGTTAAGCACTTTCTTAGTTTATTAAGCTTTTTCCACAGTATAAAGTCTAACAAGGTGTCCAAGGATCAGTGAAATAATAGAATGGCTTTCAAGTGGAATTGTGTAGTGAAGTCATCTTCTAAATGCAGAGAACTGCAAAGGAGGTAAATTGCAAATGTTTCTCAAATAGGACGTGCTGCTTCACAGTCAACTGAGTTTGTGAAGTTGCTTGTGGTGAAAGACCATGTGTAATCTTTTAAGAAATTTAACCTTCCTTTATTTATTGTAGATTCTGACTTGGTTTTCATTGTTACATGTGTAGGGTTGTTATTACCTGGCATTTGTTTTTTTTCTTAAGAAAAAAACATAGAATTTAACTCCTGTCAGTGGAGGGAAAAAGGCTCTCCAAAAAGTGTGTGTGTGTTCCTGCTGCTTATCAAGATTTCCATTTAATGTTCTTCCATAGCTAGAATATGTGCTGCCAGTGCCAGATGGCACAGTTTCTTAGAGAAGAGCTAGCTCTTGCTTAGTAGTAATGCAGACAAACAATACCAAATTAGCATAAGCAAATGTCAGTGAGTTAACATAAAGCCTGTGCTATGTCTGTCTTTTCTTCTTTTCCTAGGCCATGGGTGTTGAGAGTGACCAAGAGATTGTACAAATGATTGGCACAGAGGAACATGTGATGGCTGCATTTGCTCCTAGTCTGGAAGAATGCCAAAAAGCTCAGATTTTTACACAGATGCAGGTGTGTCTTTTCACATGGCCAGAGGCCATAAAAATCTAAAGACGGTGGGTATTGACCACTTTGCTGTCTCAGCAATCGACATACAGTTTGTGTTTTGAGGTTTGTTTTTGGGGCTTATTTTAAGCTGAGGGCTTTTAAGGGGGCAGGACTTGTCAAAAGTGAGGTTTTGCTCTCATTGCCTAAACTCAAAGTCAAGAAATGCCTTGTTTTCAGAAGCCCAAGGTTGTGTTTTAATGTATGTGACAATTAGTGTTGTCCATAAGATTAAGGTTTTTTGTTGAGGACAATTCCTATTTGTTAAAAAGGAATTGCATGCCCCATTTTGCAGAAGTCTCATTGATGTGGACATGACCATTTCGTCCTGAGTAGATGTTTTCCTCCAGTTCTAATCTCTTGTATAAAGCTTACAATAATAGCCACCCTCCGTCCTGCTAAAGACTTGCCAGAATTCTCCTCAGCTCATGTGTGCTTTTTTAATTAGCCAGAACACAGGCCATCTTGTTGGCAACACTTCCATCATGTACATATTAATCTGCTAGAAGAAACTTTTGAAGATTAGTCTTACTTCTGCTATTTCATTATAAACTTTATCAAATCTTTCCGTGTGTGTTGTTGAGTGTTGTAAAGTGAACATCTTTCTAGTTTGCATCTTTTGGGGCTTTTCAGGGTTAGAGGTAGCATGAGGCCTTCCTAATTCAGAGTCAGAAGAGTAAAATGGTGATGCTGGAGGAACATAGAGAAATGTGAAGCATCCAGGAAGGCAGAAAAACAGAAATACAGAAGTTACTCTGTGCAAGAAATGTCAAATGAAATGTAAAGTTAGCTATTTGGGGAAGAAGGTAACAGATGAAAAGAATAGCCTGTCATTTAGTGGAGAGGGTAATTCTTTGGCATAGGGGGCATGGTTTCATTTCCAGGCAGGAACTTCCTGTGCGGACCTGGATGGTTTCTTTGACTCATCCGACCTTGAATTCTGTAGATTGATTCCATTTCTTGGACAACGGGTAAGAGAGTAAGAATCCATTAATCGTTGCGAGGTACTCTTGGAGACAGATGTGGATGCCACACAGTAGCGTTTGTACCTATTAAACAGTGAGGGCCACCTCAAAGTTTAATATCCGAATGAAACTTAGCAAGTACACAGAAGAACTAGAGGTGAAAAGTCAAATTAAATAAACTAGATATCTTTGGAATTTATATAATCCTTCTTCCTATATCTCTGCAGTCCCCTGACTTTCCATATTGTAGTAGTCATGCTCTTTCACCACTTCCCATTCCAAATGTTTTCAACATATGATAAACAATATGTTGCATATTTAATTATAATCAATTGTGTCAATTTTCAAGAAGGTTTTTTTATTAGCATCACTTACGTGTTTGGTATTTTGCACTTTGCTTGGAGTTTGTATCATCTGTGGCTTGTGGGATTGCACTGACTGAGGAATACATACAGATCTCCGTGTGTGTATATTTGTATAGGTTACAATTCCAAAATTGACTCAAGTTAATTCCCCCCTTGACAGGCATTGAAGTACATTGGAAACAAAGTACGAAGGCAAAGGATGTGGGGAGGCCCGAAGAAAACAAAGATGGAAGAAGCACGAGAGCTGCTAGCATCAACTATTCTGACCCACGTTCTTGTATGTAATGTTTTTTTTTTTAAACTGGAGAAAATTTGTGTGTTTTTTTATGGTGTGAGCTTTGCTGGCAGGGAAGGATGTCTTTGATTGCTTTGTAGCTGAGATAAAGTAAGTTGTCCTCAAAATAAAGGGGAAGATTTGGATTGAGTCAAAAGTAATCTTTATGGTTTTGAAATGCTGTACCATTGAACTACTTACCATTCTGCGCGTTTTTTCTGCATAGCCAGGCAGTATCAGCTGTTAGTTCAGGACTTTATTCTCATCACCTGTACCTTTATTCTGATTTGTTTTCATTTACTCTCTTTTTCAGTATCACTAATGTATATTATTTTTAGCATTTTTTAAGAAAGTAAAGTGCACAAATCCCTTTTGTAACTCCTCAGTCGGCCTAGATTACCCATTGATTTAAATAGATGTGTTTGAATAAAAACTAAGGAACTGATACTGAAACATCAGTATGGGGTTTTTTTTGGTTTTGTTTGTTTACAGGTGAAGGAATTCAATTTTCGTGCCAAGTGCATATACACAGCAGTGATGGTGCGCAGAGTAATTTTGGCTCAAGGAGAAAATAAAGTAGATGACAGAGACTACTATGGAAATAAACGTTTGGAGTTGGCAGGGCAGGTGAGCTTTTACTTCAGAGTGAAATTGTCTTTTGGGGTTTTGTTACTACCTGCTTTTAAAAGATGCAGAATAAGGAGCATCCCTGTCTTCTCAATTGAAGTGTTTTTCCTCTCATTTTATTTTTGTTGGCTTTTTTGTGTTGACTCATAGATATGCTTCCCTGATTGAGACTAATGAATTATATCCTCACTTCTTTATTGCCTCTTTCTACCAGATGAAAGGACAGAGCAGCATAAATACGGCATCAGTTCTAGTTCCGTTATAACACCATTAGTGCCAAGAAGGCAGCAGTAAGATCCATCTCCCAGTGTCCCCCTCTAAGCAACTGGGTAAGGGAATAAACTAGGATCAAGTAGGTGCCAGCGTGTCAGGTCCAGGCTGTCCCACTGTGGAGAACCCAGCTTGTGTAGCAGCTCACAGAGCAGCCACTCAAGCTTCCTGTAATTAGGAGAAGCCCTTAAGATGGCTTATTTGTTGTCAGCTGCCTTTCTAGTCTCTACAGTGGCATGAACTAACAAAGTAAGTGGTTTAAAGTTAACCTGAGCAACTAATGAAAATGGATTGCATGGACTTCTCTGCTTGCAGAATTTTGGCACTGGAGATAGAAGCAGTAACAAAGGGCTGTGAAGGAGGGAATGGTCTGAGGTGTCTGACTGGCACCGTTCATTTGCAGAGAGGGTGGCAGTTCACAGCTGTTGGCCAAGCTACATTCTCCTAATGCAGTGGGAATTTACCTATCACATGAAGGAACTGCTTAGTTACCATGGCATGGATTTTTCCTTGCCATGTGCGGTTCTTTGATTAACCAGTTTAGATTAGGATTAGACTTCTTTGCTGTGCTCTGTATTAAGTTGGAGTTTTGGCAGTCAATATCATCTCTGGTTATTGATCGTGCATCAGAAATTCAGGCAAGTATACATAATGCACCAGGTTGGAGAAATTATGCATCTCTGCTCCCCACATCATTGGGATTTCTGTTGCAATGCAAGTAACAATATCTGTTCCTTTTTGTTCATATCCAGTGGGAATTCTCATCTTACTGTACTTTTTAAGATGTGCACTTGCATATTGTCTCATGCTCCTATTCTCCTTCCCATCCTGCCCTGTCCTCCATGCGCACATGTGAACACACACACAGAGCATGCAATCATTTCAGAGTAAAAACATGCTTTGCTTCCTAGTTTTCTGCAGAAACTAAGATGACACTCTTGAACACACTCTAAGCACAAATACAAGGAAAAAAATCCTCTTAACCTGTTAGGAAAAAACCCCACCTTTCTTCAAATTAGTATGTTGACTGTTCATCAAACTTTTGTGCAGAACATATTTCTAAAGTATAAGGAGTATTAAGAGGACATTAGTGAAATGTTCTAAGGGAGCAAATATTTTAAGCTGTAATGGATTTATTTGGTTTCTGCAGTTCAGTATGACTGTAATCAGTAAAATTAGTTGTTGCTTTGTCATCATATTGTTCTTATTTAACTGGATTGAAGTAGTGGTTTGTTTTTTCCTGATATTTTTAGAGGCAGAAAGTACAGCAGGTAAAAAGTTTTCTACAAGCTGTAAGAAAAAGGCCTCTGCTCACACAGATGTTAACAACTAAAGTAATTTTAAATTAACTGGGAAGAGGTTTTAAATGTAGAGGATCATCATAACAAAGCCAATGCGTGTTTTTTCTACATCAAGGAGAACTATGCATGGGGGGTTGTAACACTTGATTAAGAGTAGTTCTGGCTCCCTTGTGATATTTTAAAAGCTCATTTCAAGCTGAACACTTGAATTCCTCTCTGCCACATTATCAGTGTAATATTAATTTGATTGGATTACAGACTAAAAAGTGTAGAGATTTTTTTGCCAGTTTCTAAATGTTTGTGTTTAGCTAAAGTTTGCATGGATAAAATGCTTGGTGTTTTTTTTAATGCCAGCGTGTTCCTGGAATAAAAATCCTGTTGATTTAAAATTTGAATAAAGAAAAAATAAAAGAAAAGATTCCCATGTGAGGAGAAAAACATAGCGGTCTAAACAATGTAAAGACATAAAAGGCATTGTGTTTATAAAAATGTGTGAAAACAATAGCTGCTAATTTCACACCCCATGGGACAAGAGAGTACGAAATGTGCTTTAGCTTTAGATAACAGAGTTGTATCCGCTAGCCAAGCTGGTTTACAGAGCTTTCTCTTAGTCTTTCTGCCACTAGAGGCTCGGTAGGCCAGGTGCCAGCTGAGGTGTTAGCAAAACCTACCGATTTCAGGCTTAATCTTTTCACCTACCTTTTCTCTTTCCTTAATGTGTTCATTATTTGCTAAGCATTACTCTGTTCTTTGTCCTCTTTTTTTTTTTTTTGTTTCTAATGCAGCTTGCTTTGTATGGGTGAGATATGGAACAGCACCAAAATCCGGCACCCTGGAAAGCAAGGGATTTCTACCCTGTGACAAAAGAATACCGCCTTGACTTCAGAGATTGCCTAATCCCAGCTGTTCTGATAATATAATTAAGGCTGCCTAATGTCTTTAATTTTGCAACCAGTTTGTGTGAAAGGGAGAATTTGGCACTCTAAAGGCTTAAACGCTAAATAGCAATCTCAAGGCGCCTAATTAGAATTCTCTGACATTAAGCTAATTGGTGAAACTGTATTTCAGCAGCTTAACTTCTTTATTAATTTTTCTTAGGATTTTCAATGAAAATCAATTGATGAGCTGTCAGTATTTTTTTTTTTTTCTTAAATATAATTTGCTCTTTAGTACTCCTGTGTGAAGCGGGCTGAAAGGCCCTGGACTAACTATGAAATCCACTGAATATTATCACTGGCATTCCATCCTTTTTCTTTAATCTCTTGCTCTTGACCTAAATAATGCGGTTATTGCGAGATTCTGCTTTGCCAGATAGTCAGAGCTCTTATAGACTGAGCGTCTGTGAGTGAAATTAGCGAAGTATGACGCTTTTCAGACTGGCAAATAGTAGCAAGTTGGTGTACTTGGGGTGTAATTTACTTTGTTAGTTCGGAGAAGAGGAAGGATGTGTGGCTTTATAATCCCTATGGCATGTGGAATTAGGAGATTTTTGCAATTTCATGATCAAGAAATCAAATATGAGAACATTTTCTCTGTGAATTTTTTAAAATGTTGTTAAATGTTTAAGTCCTGCTCAAACCTGTTGAGATCAAATGTATGCTGTGATTGATTTCATAAGAGTCTAGTTCTTATTTGACAAGGGTATTAGACATCTTACAACTATGCACATTCCTTCCTTTTACTTTTTCCCTACTTTTGAAATACTTCCCTCATAATCTAGTTTTTGGAGACTCCAGTGGGTTCTCCTTCCTAATATGATGCTTCAAAAAAGGTGCTTTTATTTCTGATGGAAATCTGATTTAAATGAGCTGGAACAGTACAGGTTCATTGCAGGTGACTGGATTTCTTTTAACAGTGGTGAGAAGGTACTGCTTTGTAAACATTAATGGTACTACAAGCATCAGGAAGGGAAAAAGGGTCTACAACACCTTCCTCTCATGCCAAGGCCAGGTCTAAAAAAAACCCCACTTAACCAGATTCCAGCAAAACTCTCTGTCCAGAGTGGAAATATGATTCCATTTTTGTGACGAGTTAGCATACAGTGTGGGTTATCACTGGTTTTACAATTTAGTGACTGAACACTAAGTGTTCCTTATGTCTTATAGAGTAGTCTGTCAAAGATAATCCAGTCTTGCTCTCCATGAAAGTCAGTAGGAACGTTTTCTTGCAAATCAGATGTCTGTCTTGAGTTTCTAGGTGTAATTTGTTATTTTTTTATTCTTAAATGCATTTGTGATGCCAGTGAAAAGAGTAGCTTATAATTTAGTTAGCTGTTTTACAGTGTCATTTGCCAAATGCTTTGGTCAGCCCAGCTGGGGCATGTAGGTGGACAAAAACAAATGAAAACTAGTGGCCAATCCCAGTGATAGAGGAATGAGTGGTTTGCTTTCTTGTTTCCAGAAGGTAAGGAAAAGTTGGGACTATGTCTGATGGAGACAGTTAAAATTCAGTTTAATTCTGCACATACAGAAATTAAATTGTACAACTGACTCCAGAATGTCTTAGCTTGTGGTGGCTGAATACCTAGCTTGTTCAGCCCTACAATGCTTTGTACACTGGGAACTACCATTTCTGGCATTGGTAGCTGCTGCATTTTTAGTTCTTCTGACACTTGGAGCTGTTGTAAAACAGAGTCCCAGGACAGGACTGCCAGGCTTTACAATTTACACGCTTGCTTGCAAAGCTAATCATTGGGAACACTTAAAATGTATCATGTAATGCATATTTAAGTGTTTTGGGAAGCTATTAGCGTCTGCAAGGAGAGGTTGAGCAAACTGCAGAAGCAAAGCAGATTGGAGAGCAAAAAAAGTCCGATCACAAACTTTGGTAGCCTTTTCCTTTTATGGCTGTTTTAAGAACTAGAAGTAATTAATATACATATACAGGAAATAATTGGCTTAAATTGCAGCACCTGTGAAGGGTTGTATTGCTGGTTTGGTTGGGGTTTTTTCCATTCAGCTGTGTTACGTAGCTTCTTTTCTTAAAAGGTAGACTTTTTTTTTGAAATGGAGAGATCTGGAAGAGCATTGCTCTTTCCAGACAGTAGCACTTCTAGAAAAGGATGGCAGGTGTTGAACCATGTGGACTCCCTGTGGGTGTAGTTGGTTTTCCATAGACTGTGATTGGCAGAAAGTAGCAGGATAAAAGTGTATAGGAAGCTGCCTACATAACCTGAGATATGTCTTGTCAGCTGTCAAGAGCAGAGGTTGCTTCTGGGCCTCTAAAAAAGTCTCTTTTAGTTCTGCTTGTCCAGAAGCAATGGTAACCGTGCATCTTTTGTGCTTCAGTCTGGTCTTGCAAACTGTGCACTTCTTCCAAACTCTGCTGCTGAGTTGCTTCCCCTAAGGGCCCCTTACAGTCACTTGGGTATCTGTTTTGTCCATTTTAAGTAGCTCCTAGGAAGGGGCACTTTAAACAGCCTTTTTCACTTTTAATAATAGAATATCTCAAAGTGATTCCTCACTTACTGCTTTACTGCAGTTATTACATCCAGTATTAGAATAAAAGCTGGTCTGGCCTCCAAATCTTGTGTGTAATTCAGGGTTGTACATTTACGGTATTGAATCTTTAAAAAGAGTTTGTGACTTTAGGAAGGAAGAAGTAGATCAGCTGGATTATAATGCAGCAGATTAGGGAAAACAGTTAGTAAATGGAGAGTGTAGAGATGGATGGGTGTGCCAAGATATTCTGAAGGAAGGATTACAACAAACCAAAGAGGGATAAATGCACAGGCTTAGACCATTCTTCTACTTAATTTGCTTTCTATTATGACATAATTTCTGTAATAGTGCACTTTAACAAGTCAAAAAACTTATGAGAAAAATCTCATTTGGGAAATGGAGAGGATATTTTTTAACTGACAAGAACTATAAAGGTAGAAATATTAAATATGTGTCCCATCCTCCCCCATTTCCCCGACCCAGAGAAGTACAATTTTTCCCTTAATCCAATGTTTTGTATTTCCAGCTTCTTTCTCTTCTATTTGAAGATTTGTTCAAAAAATTCAACTCTGAACTCAAAAAGATTGCTGACCAGGTAATTCCCAAGCAACGTGCAGCTCAGTTTGATGTAGTGAAGCATATGCGTCAAGACCAAATCACCAATGGCATGGTCAATGCCATCTCCACAGTAAGTATTTTTGTTTTCATTATAGTATGTAAAGTTTATCCACCCTAGTGAACGATGGAAATGTGTAAATTTTGTTCTGATGACTCTACTATCTTTGGTTGTAAGAGCAAATCTATTTAAAATTCTTCATAGATTAAAATTGCAAAACTCTGTTGTGGGCAAGGCTTTTGGAATTTACTGAAGAATCATTAATCATCAAACCACTCTTTATTTCACTGTTTATTTCAAAGTCATGTTTTAGTGTTTGTGAAGGAATGGTAGAAACAAGCAAATCTAAAATAGCGATCATGTTTGTATTTATCCAACTTGCTGTCTTCTAGGTTCTACTTGAGTATGTGGTTCATGGTATTTTTTATTATCTGGATTTGGTTAGGGTCAGGTTACATCATATGTCCAAAAGGTGGTTGAAAAACAGCAGGAAAACATAATGAACAGAAGACAGTGGGGGGGAGGCGGCCAAAAAAAAAACAAAGTCAAATTTTGAGCTCTTTAAGGGCGGTGTCTTTTTATTCATATGAAGTTGCTGGTATAAACAAATTTGCAGCATAGAAATGAGTACTCCTCTGCTAATGATACTGAACTATTTAACAGGAAAACTGCTACATGCTGTATTATTGCAAAAAACCACCCATAATTAAGCCTTTAAATAGATTTTTAGCCTGTGTCTGCCTTCTACTGGAGTGAATATTTTCATTTGTGCCAGTGGACAAGAACAAAATATAATTATTAACTTTGTCTCTTACCTCACACACCTGCAAGAGCAATTTGTGAGATGGTTCCTGAAATCTAGCTACTAGCTTGTAAACGACTTTGAAATCCATGATTTTTTAAGAAATTAGATTAGCCTAAGTATTTTAGTAGCTGGTAAAAATTGTGCAACTTAATTTTTAATCTTTAGAACACTTGAGAGGGCTTTTCTTCCTAGCATGAAACTGAGGTTTTTCTTCAGTTCTTGTAAACAAAATTAACTCCACAAATTGCATCCAAACCCACCAACAGTCTGTTACTTACAAATCCCAGTGTTAAAGCTTATCACTATTTAATTTTATGAGTGCCCCAAATGTAGTTAAATCTCTGCAGTGCACGTAACCAAAACAATTGACAGATTTGTTTCTCTAAATGCTAGTGCTTTCTTCTAGTCGGTGCCAGTTTTTCCATTTGGACTGACAGAGATAAATCTGTAAACTATTCAGTACATATTGTAAAGTCTTCCTTCTTCTACCATCTTTGGACTTTTTTTTACTGTCACATAAGCAGTTAAACACCATCTGCTCTTAAGCATTGAAAATAATTTCTCAGGAACAATGCCCAGTGCATACTATTCAAGAGATTAAGCAAATACCATAAAAATCATTCTTGGAAACGACAATCTCCAATCTCACCAGAATGCTTCAATGATAGTCTCAAAGAGCATGAAAGAACTCAGCGGACTCATAATTACACCAGTAGCATGCAAAAGAATTCATAGCACTACTGCATCAACTGTACAGTGATGTTCAGTGATATTTGCTATAGGTTGTCTTTTTACCCTGGAAAATACCAGAAGAGAGGGTAAGTCAGACAGTAATGCCACAGGCCTGATAGACATTTCAGCATCTGCAGAATCATCCAGTGCTGCTGAGGGAGCAACTTCCAGTTCACAGGAGTTTTCAGTAGGAAGTTCTCCACTGGGGATGGTCTCACAACAGCCCTGGCCCCATTTTGGGTTGTTTGGACAACTTTTGAAGGAGTCAGTTTGTCACTTCCAAAGCACAAAGAATTTTTTTGTATTATTTCTTCAGGCAGTGTTTTTACCTCCCCTTTTAATCCAGTCTTTGAGATTTCACAGTCTTCTGGGCAGTGAAGAAGAAACCACATGCTAGTTTAGACTACAGATGCAATCATTTCTAGCGTGAGGAAAAACTACTCATCTATTGTATTCTTCCGTTTATATTCTGATAACTCCCAGTCCTTAAAGAATGAAATGGTCAGCAAGTGATCCCTTCCCAAGAAGGTTGAGCAAGTGGGCAGATTTCTTTTGGCTGACGTTGGGCATTATGTCTTCCCACTTTCTGTAACAAGGAAAAAAGAGAAGTTCTGCAGACTATTTGATAGTCTCTCCAGTGGAAGCAAATAGCAAAATCATTTGGATGGGTGGTGGTTCCTTGCTGTTCATCACAAAATGGGATTGTGCTGTTAACATATAAATAAAGAAGTCAAGCAAATCACCCTCTAAAAGGATTTCGGTGTAGTACAGCAAGTGAGCTTCAAATTATTTGTTAGCATTGGTGAGCTGAGTTTATCAAAAAGGCTACAAAAACTGGCAGAAGGCAATCCTTGGAAAAGTGTTACCTTTGAGATCTGCATTGCCTTTGGACTGACCAGTAACATGGTGGCTTGAATTGGGACAGAAGCTTGCTTTATCCACTGACTCAGGTGCTCTGTATGGAGTAGATGTCATGAAGTCAAAAATTGTAGCACCAAATTTCACGATCTTACAGTAGAGATTATTAAATCTGCTTGGCATGGAAACATAATCGTGTCCTAGAACATTCTCTGAACTCTTCTGTTGTCCTCATTAAAACCACAAGTGATACTGCCTGTGACAGTCTTGAAACATGTAACCTCTGACATATGCATGGATCTTGCATTTCATATTTGGTGTTGGATAGAGAAGTTGGATAGACCTAACCCCCGCTGCCGCTCTTCTTCTGTGAGAAGACACATCAGTGAATCTTTTTCCTCTGGATTCTAAAAACAAAAGGCTTGAAGAAAGTACAGACGGCTTTGATGTCAGACTTCTCTAGCATAAATGCCTGTTTCCTACAAAATCAACAAATGATAAAAAAAGGCAGAACTGAAAGTTTGTGGGATCTATTGTAAAAGTGTATTTCACTCAAAATACCCCCCTTTTTTTTTTTTTAAACACTCAAAAAAATCTATAAGGGGAGAACAGAAAATAATTGAAGCCTGTGAGGGGCAGATGATGAAGAATCTTTGTGTGATTGAATATATAATAACAAAATTATCCTCTCATCTGAAAGAGCAGTTCTTTTGTTTTAACTTTTTTAGTACTTAGTACAAGTATGTTATAACTAGTAGTTTATATGCAGATAGGTAATTAGAAAGTTGTTTTATATAAATGGGTGACATTTGCTGTGCAAAGCTCCTCAGATATCATTCTGTCTAGATACTGAAAAAAGACATATAGTGTCAAGACAGGGATAAACTGCAATAACTTTTTTTAAACACTCATTCTATTCTACAGGGAAATTGGTCTCTGAAGAGATTCAAAATGGACCGCCAAGGGGTGACGCAAGTATTGTCCCGCTTGTCTTACATATCTGCTCTGGGAATGATGACTAGAATCTCTTCTCAGTTTGAAAAGACAAGGAAAGTGAGTGGTCCTCGGTCACTACAACCATCTCAGTGGGGGATGCTCTGCCCATCTGACACTCCTGAAGGAGAGGTGAGGAACTTCTATTTTGCTTTCAGTATTTCTTGTCCTGAGGAATGGAGACACTGTTTATTTTGAAGCAGGTGATCCTCTGTCAGATGAAGAATTCTGATGAGGAGGTTGCTGGGGAGATAAATTATCCTCAGCCTGATAACACAACTTGTGTGTCTTCTCACATCCCATCTATTTACATCCTGGTCCTCACTATATTGCCTGTTTTTCTCCTACCTGAGTGGACTGGCTGGAAACTGTTCAGAAATCATTTGGCTGTGTGAGAATGACATGAGGCTTCCCATTTTTGCAGCATAGCTACTTGCTCTCTTTTGTTCAGAGCGGAAAGAGAGGAGTCCTAAACTCCTATCCCTTTGTTCTGTAATAAATGTTCTGTTTTGAAGTTGCATTGTCAACCTGAAATTTTTCTAGAAACATGTATTATTATTACAGAAACAACTTTAGCTTTTAGCTTGAGGAAGAAAAACACCTTCATATGTTTTACTTTGAAGACATCACCTAGCTATTTCAACCAAATGATTGATGCTGACAGTCGTCTTTTTTGTTTTTCTTTTTTTTCTTTTGCTGTGGGAACTGTGAACTTCCTGGCATAAATACATAGTCAATATGAGCAAGTCTCGTTAAGCAGCTGAAATAAAATTGCACTGTGTACTTGGATATATTTCATTTTAAAATGTTAAAGTTTGTGTTAGAACATACAGGATATCTAGCAAATTGATAAATAATCTGATTTTGTATTTCCATTAAGCTTCTAAGTAGCTGTTGCTTTAAAGAGAGAAATATAGAGTTATACATGGCTGGATAACTTAAAAACTACAACTTGATCACCTATATTTTTTGTTAGTTTGTAAATGCTAAAACATTACATTTCAGTGTGATATAGAAAGTTCTTCTTTTCTTCCCTCCTAATTTTCAGTGTAGTTAATTTGTTTCATTTCTTTCACTTTATACTTTAATGTTTTTTTGTTGTTCGTAAGTATGGTTTTGGAAGAAAAAGGTATGTATAGTATTAATACTTTGGAATAAAATGGATAAAAGATGGTTTTTTTTTTTCATTTTAGGCTTGTGGTTTGGTGAAAAACCTTGCCCTCATGACTCACATTACTACAGATATGGAAGATGGCCCGATTATTAAATTAGCCAGTAATCTTGGAGTTGAAGATGTCAACTTGCTCTGTGGTGAAGAACTTTCATATCCAAATGTGTTCCTTGTTTTCCTTAATGGTATGTAACTTTTCAGCAGTCTGACTCTGATTTGTTGCTGATGGAAAGTTAGGCTTCAGAAACCCTCCAACAATTTTTGGAACACAGTCAACTGCAGATGCCATTTTCCATGTGTAGATAATTTCATCCGTAAGTATTTTGATAGGTTTAGGCAGAGTAGACAGGCCAGATGATGGCACTTTGTTATCTGAAGCTGTGTCCTCAGAACTCTGACTGCAGATGTGTGTAGCTGGGAAATTGAACCTTTTTCAAATTTCAGTACTGTTTTTAAGCACACTTGCATGAATAGGCACAAAAATATGTACATTCTATTACAGATTTGCTTGTTTGGTCGGTTGGTTTTAGGCATTCACCAAATGAGGTGCCATTCATAAAGTACTTTTAGAAGAGAATAATGCTGCTAAATTTGTAATAGCTTAAATTAACAAATTCAGAGCTTCATTCACAGAAAGTATTTAATTTTACTGTAATCTTTATGTATTCTTATATACATTCATGCAAGTGCCTTTAAAAACGCAAAGGAAACATCAATTGTTTGCAAAGTTTAGCAGTGCTAGCCTCTTTAAAACTACCTTTTAAAGGGCAACTTGCTTTGTGAATGATTTGAAAAAATTAGACCTTGGAAAACAGGCCTCTTTTCTTTGTTAAAGGGATAATTTGTGAAAGATACGTGCTTTGCGTCTGCATGTTTATGTTCCTTTTACAACTGATCTTTTAGCGTTTCTAAATCAACAGGTACTATGATATCAGATTTCAAAATACTGACATTTTAAAAACTACAACTGTGATTTAAAAATAGCCTTTTGTCACCAGCATCCACTTCCAGGGACTAGTTTTTAACGTCTGTCACCATGAATAAGTTCTCCATTTACCTTTGAATTAAACAGCAGTTGTTCTTCAATCCTGCCTTTTCCAGTAACATAAAAGCAACACTTGACCAAACTGCATTCCTTTGCTCCCCTTTTCTGTAGCGGTATGTTAAAGATAAGGCTCAGTGAAACCACATGCACTCTTTTCTGTCTCGTTTTATGGTCCAAAGGGGAGTGCAGAGCAGAAATATTGGACTCTTCCTTCACAAACTCAGTTTGTTGTATGGAACATGGTAGTTATGTTCTCAAATGTAGATGATCTAGTACTAAGTGAGGCAAAACAATTTGCTGCTCAATCTACTAGTTTGTGGATTTAATCCATAAAAAATTTCAGGCTTGTTGTCCTGGTTTCGGCTGGGATAGAGTTAATTTT